ATCTTTACTGGGGCAGACAACCTCATCTTTCTCCCTTCAGAGTAACTGCTGGATTTGAACTGCTGGCCTTGTACTTAGCAGCCCAACACGTAACCTAATATGCCCTCGGGGTTCCTTGAAGTGTTGAAACTCCCTGCTGAGTTGACTCCAACACCTATTGAGCCTATAGGACAGGGTGGAGGCGGTCACTCTACTATCTCAGAGTCAGATCTGATGAAACCCTCTGTGTGCAGTGATGCTTGCTGGACGCAATAAACCGGGGTCCCTGTCCAGTCACTTCCAACTCACGGTGACCCCGTGTGCCCGGGAGCAGGGCTGTGCACCATGAGTTTTTTCAGAGATCGATCAACGGGCCTTTCTTCTGAAGTGTGTCTGGATGAACTTGAACCTGCGATCCTTCAGTTATCAGGCTACTACTTCAACCGCTCCCAACGCTGGGCCACATGAAATGGGATCTGACAAGGACCTGCGGACCCTTTAGCACATGCCGTGCTGAGCCTGGAGCTGTGGCAGAGGGGCGGCTGAGAGGCACCCAGGCGAGGGTGGGTGAGCGAGAGACCCCAGGGAAGCGCTCTAATTCTACCCCAATACTTCATCCACTGTGCCAGCAGGGTTCCTTGCGACACAAGCACACCCTGGCTGTGCACAGATGGGCCTCCTGCTAGTGGGCTGTCGTTGGTTGCAGCTTGCAGTGGGGCTGGTGCTGCGTCCTGGTGGCTCTGTGGCTAGCGCTGCACAGCCTGGCTCCAGCTGGGCGATCCCCGGTGATTTCTTGTGCCCCACTTTGGCCGTGGTGCCAATCCATCTCAGTGAGGGTCTTCCCGGTTTCTGGGGACCTTCCATCTTCCCAGCCATGATGCCCTGCACGGCGCATTGGTAGGCATCCAAGAAAGTGAGAGACGTCGCCTGTTATTTCAGGGTCGAGATCAAGTCTCTGAGACCTCACAGAGGGACAACGACTTCCTGAGGTCCCCCGCAGAGCCCTGAAGCCTAGTGGCCTCCTCCTTCCTTATCTTGCAGATGCAAGCGCCTCTGCTAACCTCTTCCGCTGCCCGCTTCCGGGAAGGTGTGAGAACCAAACATGGTCCTGGTTCCTTCTCCGGAACTCAGGCTGGAGCGGAGGGGCTCCTCCAAGAAGGAGCCAGAGACCCAGCTGGCACTTGTAGTTTGTGCTTCATTATTTCTGCATCTCTCCCCCTCTGCCCCCTACCCCTCAGACTGCAGACTCCTTGAGGGTAGAAGCTCCTCAGCCGGGCTGTTCTCTCAGACGGCCCCCTCATCTGATTAGGGACTTCCAGAAGGTAGAATGGGGAGGGGCCCATGGGAATAGAAGTCAGGGGAGCTGTTTGAAGGTCCTATAACTGGACTCGATTTAGTCATTTGTCAACTGAGGTTCATTATATCCGTTGTGAGAATGAAGACGCAAAGGCCAGGAGAGATGTGACGAAAAGACATTCTTAAGGTGGGGGGTGAACAGGACGGAAAATACCAGGCACGGGCCCTGACACCCAGCTCGAGGAGAGGACAAGGGGATCATCATTGGCTTCATGGGTGTAGGAAGGTTTGCCCATTTTGCATGCGGCTATATTCCAAGTGCTCAGAACATGGGTTCCACCAGGGGGTGGAGGGTACAGATGGCAGTGGAGGGTACAGATGGCAGTGGCGGGCTGCGGTGTGCCAGTCCCGATGAGGGCATTCATCAGGAAGGCTCCCAGGGAGCAGCAGAGAGGGCCAAGCAGACCCCGGGTCTGCCCACCAGAAGGGCCTCTGTGGGCCTCCAGGAGCTGAACACTTTATCCAGGTCCCCCTGACCCAGGTTATGAAGGAGGGGCTTCAACAAGATTTCTGTCCAGGGCCACCACCAGTGGCTTCTGTCCCCTGCCCCCAGACCACCCCCTGGGTTTCCTCTGCCTCCACCTCCCACAGCTTTCCAGCAAGGTCTCACCACACCCTCCTCTGTCTCTGAAGAAGTCTGGGCTTCCTGGAACCCACCCTTTGCTCCTTCCCACGTCTACCTTTGACTCGGAGAGCTCCTGGCTAGTCACAGTGGCCCAGTAAGGAACAGCTATCTCTTCCCTAGTCAATCTCCAGTTTGCCCTTTATCCTTCCAAGAGCCTATTTCTGTGAAGTTCCACCCCCATGTAGCATGTGCCCTAAGAACGTCACTCCCCCAAGCCTTCACCTCCTTAACCACAAAAGAAGCTAAATGACTGAAGACAAGGGGTTCTCTGAGTCATGTTGGTGGGAAACAGTCCCTTGCTAAATAAAGATAGTACTTTATTGATCTTGAATAAGCCAATGTCGCTGAATTGTTACCTGAAGACTGAGAGGAGTTCCAGTCAAACCAGAGAACCTTGGACTTGCGCGCGTGCGTGCGTGTGTGTGTGTGTGTGTGTGTGTGTGTGAGAGAGAGAGAGAGAGATGGCAAGGGAGGCATCAAGCAGTTGCTTGGTGTTATAAACAACATATCATTTAAAACACATCAATGTCCTCATGGAAAATGTGGTTCATATAGAAGTGCTCCTGAAATCATACACTGTTAACACAAACTTGCAACAGACTCAGATTTGTCACTACTGTCCAGTAAAAACTGGTTGCCTTTGCCATGGACTCAGGGCAACCCCGTGTATCAGAGTAGAACGGAGCTAGCTGTGCTACAGGGTTCTATAAACAACACAACACAACACCGAAACAAACCCACAAAGCAAAGCCAGACAAAACAAACCCCGTGGGTTTCCAAGACTCTAACTCTTTACCGGTGTAGGAAGCCTCCTTTTTCTTCTGAGGAGTGGCTGGTGGTATCAAACTGATGACTTTCAACCAGGGTGCAGTATGACACTGATGAAACACACAATATTCCTTTGGTTCTTTGAGGCATCTGCACCCCCTACTATCATGATCCCAGCCCTGCCTTTCCATTCTGGCTAGACCGGAGCATGCACACTGGTAGATAAGGGCTCAGGACACTCGGAATCCAGGTCAGATAAACCCCGCAGGAACAGAAATGGAAGAAGTGATACCAGGAGGGGAGGGGGAGGGGAGGGAGGAAGCGGGAAGTGATTGAAATGATTGACATATAACACCCCCCACCCCAGGGTGATGAGCAACAGAAATGTGGGGGAAGGGAGACAGTGGTCAATGGAAGATAAGAAAAAAAATAATCTGTAATTTTTCAAGGGCTCAGATAGAAAGTAAAGGTTTAGAAAATAATGATGGCAGCATATGTACAAATACGCTTGATACAATTGATGTACGGATTGTTATAAGAGTTGTTAAGGGCCCTTAGTAAAATGACCTTTAAAAATAAAATAAAACAAACTAAAAAACCTGTTGCCTTTGTGGCTAGGAGCCGGATGCATACACGCCACCAGGTGTCTGGTATAGAATTCTTGGTGGCTGTTTTTTCAGAAGCAGGTCCCTTCTTACAAGATGCCACTGAGTGGATTGAACTGCGCCTTCCAGTTAGCAGCCAAGTGGAGGGCTGTCCTGAAATTGTCACACAAGGGGGCCAGTCTCAAGCAATTTCCCAGTTAATTGGCCTACTATCTTTTTTTTAGCACTTCCATTCTCCAACCTAGATCCTGGGTACTGACTGGGGATTTAAAAGCTGTCAAGCAATAATCTGACATCACAACTATTTTCTATTTGCCTGTCGGCAAGAGCAAAGAAGCGTGAGGAATAGGAGGAAGAGCTGGAATGTGTGGCTAATTGCCTCGGAGAACAACACTGCTTCCTTTACCAGGAGACCAGAAGAACTGGATGGATGGTGGCCGCTGCCCTTAGTGACTTGTTTTGATAAAGGATTCTGTAGAAGAATCCTGATCAAAAGGGGGGAAAATGCAGACCAGAACTTCAAATCCTCCTGGAATCCATCCTTTGCTTCAGGAAGCTCAACTATCGTTCGGTTGAAAGACATCGGGATATTTTTGGCAGCCGTTGACCACACACTGGAAATGTAAGATAGTGTGGGATTTGGTCTGTTGAGATTTAGGTTGTTAACAGGGACCCAGGATATAACAGCCCACCCCCCTTCTCTATAGTTAAAAAAAAAATTCCTTTTAAACCTGTTAATTATTCCAAGGCCTGGGCAGGGTTGCACAAGTCTGTTACCTATTAAAGGATGATCTAATTCAGGAAAGGGGCAGCAGGGGCGTTAAATAAGCATGCCCTGGGGGGGTGGTACCTGTCTGACTGCCCCTGAAATAATGACCTATCAGCTGATGGTCTGATAAATCCATCATTCAAATGTCAGCTTTTCCTGTGCTCCCTTTTGTCCCATTGCTGGAAAGCCCTCTGATTATTATCTCAAACCCAAACCAAACGCACGGCCATTGAGTTGATTCTGACTCATAGCAAACCGACAGGACTGGGTAGAACAGCTCTACTCTCTGGATGGGATTAGAAAGCCTTGTCTCTTTCCCTTTCGAACTGCTGACCTTGCGGTTAGCAGAGCAATGCTTAAACTACTTTGCCAAGAGGGCTCCTCTGATAGTTGTAAACCTGTTAATCACTTCCCGGGACTGTAGCAAAGTCTGTTTCTTGTCACCTAGTTTAAGGTATTTAACGTGCTGGATTTTGACTAAAGTTTGAAACCGTTTGGAGGTGGAAACCCCACTGTTTCTTTCTGTCAGCACCTGCAAGAATTTCCTGATCAACCTGGTCTGTCTCTGGCTAAAACAGTGTGAGGTTGTCCAGGACCCCCGACAGCCGGCGACACCTGCCCCAGGGACCCCTCCTTGAGCCTTTCCCACAATGTCCCTGCCAGTTGGCCCCATTCAGGCCCGAACACTATCACTGGCCCCATGAGGCCTTGCCTGGGCCCTTACCCCGAGTAGCCCGCCCTCCTCCCCCTGCCACAAGTTGTCACTTCCTAGCTTCCTCCCAGAAGCGCCAAATTCCCCAAGCCCCTCACTGTGCTGCAGTCCTACTGTCCTCCCCCCCTCTCTCAGCGGCCCCAAACCAGCCTCCCTCTCCCACACAGCACACATCAAACTGGCCTGTCCACCTCATGTTTTATTGTAAAAATGTTAAAAATAAATGACACTCGTTGCCAGCATGAATATACATGGGGTACGGATCCTGGCCAGCTAGGCGAGGCGGGGGACAGGACCATCCACCGACACGGATCAAAGGAACATGCAAACACCCACCACATCTGACCCACCCCTGCAGGCAGACAGACTCAAACCTACTAGAGCGGGGCGGGGACAAGGGGCCTGGGGACATACAGACCAACCCATCGCCTTCTTCACACCTCGGGTGGATGGAAGCTCTAGCCCCTCTGCCCCACAACAGTCAGGGTGGGGGTCGGGGGCTGAGAGCGAGCACCCACCTTGGACCTGGCACCCCGATGCCCCCACCTGTACTCTGTGTTCTTCCCCGGCTCTGGCAGGGGGCCAGCTCCTGACAAGATTACCTTGTCACTGAGAACCACCCAGTGGGGGAACATGGGGAGGTGACCCTAGACCCTGCTCTTTAACCTCCTTTCCCTCCTGGCTTGGAAACCAAACACAGAGTCCAGGTCTGTAAAAATCAGCAGTTTATTACAAAAAAAAAAAAAATAACAAAATACAACCCTAGGGGCCCAATGGGCCAGAGAACCCCAGGACTGGGCAGCAGCGAGTTCTCCCAGACCCCTCCCCCGGAAAGACCCAGTTTACAGTTTCACATTGTCTTTTGTGCGCCCCCCCATTCTTCCCCCATCCTTCCTTTCAACCAGAAACACATACAAACCCCGGCAAACAGTTGCCAAGGGGAAGGGGGGCCTGCTTCACAGATTTGGCTGTTCACCATGGGTGAGCGGAGAGGAAGGGGGTCTGGCGGGGCAGTGAGGTCCTTGTTCTGGGCCAGGGGAAATGGGGGTGGGTGGGAGGGGGTTACTGACAGATGGGGTCTAGGCCGGAGCGAGGAGTCAGAGCTGAGACCCACTCTCCCCATGCCCCGCCCCCTCCCCCCTTTGGCTCTGCTTCGCCAGGAGGCCTCGCATGGACCTGCTGTGACCACCAGGGTCTGCGGCAGGTGCCGGGCCTGTCTGGGCAAACCAGTCACGTGCGGTCTCAGCATCCGGAGTGTTTCTCCATCTGCCCGCTCACAGTTGGGCCCAGGCAGCGTCTCCCCAAGATGCCAGAGGGACCTTGGCAAGGCCGGGGAGGTAGGGTGACAGAAGGATCACCCACACTCCCCGCCCTGGGCCCAGGCGCCCCTGTGGTCCATCCCGAAGCGCCCTCGCCCCACACTGCCAGAGAGGACTGACAAAGGCAGGACTGGGCCTTCCGCCTGCCTCGCTGCTGCTCCCCCGTGCTCGACACCCAGGCGCTCATTAACTGCTCATCAACTGAAATGCTTGCGGGCCCCTCGCGCCCCCAGGAGAACCGTGTGACATTATCAACCCAACGGCCCACGCAGGCCTCCACAGGCTCAGTCTCACCCCCCTGCCCTGCCAGCCCAGATAACCCAGAACCCCCGAGGGTCCAGTCACGCTCAGGGCAGCTGCCCACCCACTGTCGGCCTGCGTTCAGCGGGAAGGGCAGAGGCTATGTCCTGGGCATGTGCCATGTGTGAGCGGTAGCATCCAGCTGGAGGGGGATGGAGGGTGTACACAGGCCCCTGGCCCCCCGCTCCAGGGTCGGCCCCCCCAAAGGGGTCAGGCATCCCAGCCATCATAGGCACCCCCTCTCCCCCGAGGGTGAGTGGAAGAAGGAGCCGTCGGCTGTGGGGCGGGGAGCCAGGCCTCCCTCAGGGGCCTTTGGGGCTGCTGGCCTCGTTGTATTCGTTCATGAGCTGTTCGTAAGGCACCGAGAGCTCGGACTCAGTGCTGGTGAAGGTGGACTCGTCGGACGACGGGAACTCGCCCAGGTTCAGGGGCACCACAACCTCGGCCTCCTTCAGCGGCCGCTCCTCCCCGGCCAGGTTGTCCTCCAGCGAAGACTTGGACGTCTCCTCTTCCTCCTCCTCCGAGAGGCCGGCCTCCTCGCTCGTGAAGGTGATGTTGACGTTCTGGAAGATGAGGGGGTGGTAGTCCTGGGCCTCCCACGGCTCGCCCTCCTCACTGATCCGGTCCAGCTGGTTTGTCGCCTCGGGGTTGGGGGAGCCGTCCGGGTTGGGGGAGCCGTCGGGGGTGGGTCCCGCCCCTGCCTCCTCACTGGGGGGCCGAGATAGGTGGCCTTTGTTCCTTAGTGTCTGCGACACCTCCTCTAAGCTCGGCACCCTGTGCTTGGAATAGACCACCAGGGGGGTCAAGGAGGTGGGGAGGGCTGGCAGCCCGCCCCCCGGAGGCCCCGGGCCCGGGCCCCTCTCGCCACCCCCACTCGTCTTCATGGCCTTCTTGCCGATCTGCTTGATGAGGTCGTTGTAGGTCTCCTCCTTCTTGGAGAGGAAGCTGAAGATGTTGACGTCCTTGGCGGGCGCCTTCCCCGCCATCTGCAGGGCCTTCTTGGAGTGCGGAGCGCTCTCAAAGGACTCCTTCCGTCGCCGCCGCCGCCGCTTCTTGATGGCTTTGTGGACCTCCACGAACATGCTGACCTTCCAGTTCACAAAGAGGGACAGCCAGGCCAGCCCCAGGTAGATCCAGAGCTCCACAAAGTAGCGGTAGAGGGCATGGTAGTTGGCGTCGGGTTTCACACCTGCAGAAGACAAGAAGCCGGGGGGTCAGCCGGGACCCAGACACATGTGAAGGGCAACGCTACGTTCTCTCCGAGAGCGGACTTGGCAGAGGCAGAACAGGAGGAGGGCGCGGCGTGAACAACAGGGGAGAGACCTGTCTAGGACACAGGGTTACCTGGCTGCCCTCAGGGCCTTGCCCCTGCCACTTGGGCCCCTATTCTCAGACCCCCCCAGCCCCCACCCTGCTTGTCTGGAAACCTCAGGAAAGCATCTACCTTTCGTGATGAGGGAAAATGCTGAGGACGAGTTTTAGAGAGTTGGCAATGTAACCGACACAATCAAGGAATAGGTGATGGCATAGCGGTTGCACATTGGGCTGCGATCCCAAAGGTCCTAAGTTCGAAACCACCAGCCGTTCCATTGGGGAAAAGACAGGGCTTTCTACTCCCATCAAGAGTGACGGTCTCTGAAACTCACAGGGGCAAGTTCTACCCTGTCCTAGAGGATCAGCTATGAGCTGACATCGGTTTGACGGCAGTGAGTGGCTTGGAGACCTACATCTTAGAGCATAGTTTCAGACCACAGCTGACGGAGCGGCTGCCAGAGACATGCTGAGAGCCGGTGGAGACGGACTCTGGTTTAGCACGGGGCTGGTGGAGCTGAGTCACTCAGTCATGGGTGTTGCGGGGGCCCAGGTGGGTCGCGAATGGGGTGTGGGCAGCATGGTGGGAGGTGTCCCTGCCTGCCTCCTGCCTGGCTCTGGGAAGGGGAGTTCCCCGCAAGGGGATGACCGCCACCATAGAGTGATCACAGATCCTGACAGGAACCCGTGTGAACCACCTTGGTTCTCCCAGGTCTGACTTCCTGCTCCTGCCTCCTCCTACTGCCCCGCCCCTTGGCCTGGAGAGCCACCTTCTTCCACAGCCAGGGTCCCTGAGGCCAGCCCAAAGGTCCCTGCCCCGGAAACCCCACCACGCTGACAGGATTGTTTGACTCTCTTTACTACTTCCACACTTATAGGCATGCAGATCAATAAGCTCGTGTGCCTGTCTTTGCCTCACCGGACTAGGGGTCCCAAATGTAAGGGCCGCACCTCCCCCCTCAGCCAGGAGGCGATCCGAGGGGGTTCTTTGAGGAGGGCCCTCCCCTCACCCAGCACTCAAGAGACAGTGTTATGGTTTGAACTGTGTTGTCACCGTGTGAACAACAACAGAGGGTTGTCAGGCCTAGCCCCCAGCCTTGAGGATGTAAGAATCCCTCTGGGCACAAGGCTGTCTTTGGTATTTTAGCAAGGCCGGCACTTCTGAGCTACATAGGGGACGCGGGCACACAGGAAGCCCCCAAAGAACTCTGAAGGGAACACGGTGGGCGCCGAGGACCCCCAAGAGCAGACGGAGCACATCTTCCTTCCCTAGAGCTGGTGCCTCATCCCCCCTGCTGGTGTCCCAAACTGTGAGCGAGAGCAGCCCGGTGGGTTCGATGGCACGGCGGCTGCTGTTAACCAGTCTGACAGAGGAGGACTAAGGCACAGAGGCGTGCTGTCTTGCTGGCTGGCGCTGGGCTGGGCCCCCTCGGCACAGAATGCCTTTCCTTACCCTGCTCTGGGCCCCAGGGACTAGACAATGGCCGGCTTGTGCCTTGGGGTAAGTCTCTCAGGGCAGCGGGTTCAGCTTTGCCAGGCTCGTGGCATGCCCGTGCCTCTTTCCTGTTTTCCCACCCACTCCCAGCATTCCTTGTACCAGGGCAGAAGGGTGGTGACCTCTCCCTGGCCCCGGAGCAGGGGCTTGGGGGCCAGGGACCAGAGCCCCCAGGGAGAGAGAGGAGACCTCCTGGGCCAGGCAGCTGGCTTGGAAGGAACAATGGCTGGGTGTCCAGAAGATGAGCCCAGATGCCGTGCCGACCACAGGCACAAGTCCACAAGAGGCTGGCCGGGGGTGGGAGGGGCACAGGTGGTCAGACAAAGGACCAGGAATGTTATCTACTCCCTGAATTTATCTGCTCCCTGGATTAAGAGGGGAGGAGTGGGAGGGAGTGGCAGGGACAGAGGGGCAGGGCCACTTGGGAGAAGGCCTCCGTTGTCTTTAAACCACCTGTCGCAAGAGCAAAGTATCGGGCCTCTCAGCCAAGCCTGCAGAGAGAGGGCAGGCTGTGGGCTGGCAGGGGCAGTTCTGTAATAATCGGTGGGGGTGAGGTGGGGGCTGGCTGGGCTCACAGGGAAACACGGACAAACCCGGCCGGTAGAGGGCTGACTCCAGCAAACCCAAGCTCGGGGGACAGGAGGGGTAGCCAGGGGTGGAGGACACCAGAGGCCACACGCCAGGAGAGGGGAGAAGCCAAGCTGAAGAAGGGGAGCACAGGCAAGAGTCTCCTGCCTGGTCCCCTGAGCCTTGTTTCCCCCAGCAACGGCAGGGCAGGGGGACGAGGATCCCTCTGGGTGGGGGGAATGTCCAGAACACTGAAGGCCCCCCAGGTACCGCCAGCAGAGCTGGAAGGGGAGAGGAGAGGCAGACCGGGAGAGACAAAGACAGAGGCGCAGGGGTGGGGCGAGGAGCTCACCAGCCACGAAGTCCCCGAAGCCGATGGTGGAGATGGTGATGAAGGAGTAGTAGAGGCCCTGGATGTAGTCCCACTCCTCAGTCACCATGAACACGAAGGGTGGGATCACCAGGTGCACCAGGACCCCCCACACGATGAAGATGGCCGTGCAGGTGATCTGCGCCTTCCGCTGGCGGAGAGTGGGAGGGAGAGGCCAAGTCAGACACAGGGCGAGCTGAGGGGAGCCCCGGGGAAATGAGGGAGGACAGAAGGGCTGGGGGCCCCAATCCTTAGAGTCTTCCCATCCCCCACCACCTGCCCCGGCCCCTCACCTCTCCTCAGGGCAGAGGACTTACCAGGCTCACGCCTCTCTTGGTGAGGAACTGGCCCAGCCTCTTGGCACGCCCTCCGAAGAATTTGCCCAGGGCGCTGATCCACGTCAGGCAGAGCGGTACCCCGAAGAGGCCATAGAAGATGCAGAAGAGGCGTCCGGCAGGGGTCTTGGGGGCCACGTTGCCATAGCCTGAGGAAGGAGGTTGGGAGGGGAGGCCAAAAAGAAGGAAGGGTCTTTGTAGGAAGGCAGTGCAGCGGGGTGGACAGGCGCAAGGAGAGAGCCACTGAGTGGGGGGGTGGAGGGCAGGACAATCTCCAGGTCTTACCTACACCACACTAGATAGCACGGAGTGGACACTGATTCAGGCTCACCCTGTGGGTGCAGCCAGCCTGGACTCAAACACCCATGGCCCTCAGTTAGCCCCTGAGGGCATTAACCATTTGGACCACCAGGGACCTCGAGCCATCCTTAATGACATTTCCCTGGGAAAAGGACACTGGGGTTGGATTGCATGATCATTTGCCACAGCTAGCACAGCAAGGGCTGTGGCTTCTCCAGCGGCCTGGACATCCCTGAGGGCAGGCCTGCGTCTCCCCAATAGGTCTCCCACTTGCGCTTAGGGCCACACCGTGCAAACTTGGAAAGGATGCCCTGCAGTAGCCACTCTCCCACACCCTCCCCACGTGTACGTGGCTGCTGCTCACATTAAGGGAGAGGCCCGTACCCTGCTCTTTGAGGCTGGGCTGGGCTGGCCAATCCAGTGCACTGGGAACACGGCTGTGTAGGTTTAACAATTCTTCTGCTTCTCCTTCTTGAAGTCCTGGCCCATGGGATTCTTCCTCCCCCTTGGAACCTAGTCACCATACTGTGAGAGGCCCAGGCACATGTGGAGGTACCTGGGAGCCAATGACATCCCCCCCTACCCCCCAGCTGAGATCCCAGCCTCCAGCCAGCACGGCTCTCAGGTGACTGCAGCTCCAGCCACCGCCTAAGAAGCCAGAGCATGCTGGGATGAGCTGAACTCCGTCAAAAGATTGTTTTACGACACTAACTTCTTTGGGAAGAGATGCTAAACAATGACTGCAGGGAACCTAGGGGAACAATGGACCAGACTTTATGTCCCTGAGTAGACACTATGAATATATTTCTACCCAATCCTTGGCGAACCACGCCATGGACTAAGGTCCCACCGTGAGGACCTTGACACTGACCTTGCAGGCAGCATGGCATAACCCAGGGGCTACACCAGAAGGAGTTGACATAGAGGGCCTGCTGAATGAACTGAGCCCTGCCTCGAAGTTGCCTGCACCCTTGCACAGACGACTGGGGCACTTGGACAGGAGAGGAAGCAGGCAGTAGCCGCCCAAGGGATTGGGGAAGTGGCAGTCATTGGCCCTTGGGGGAACCCGCAGTTGGGTGGGTGTCCAATGGAAAGGGTCCAGAATCACTATTTGGTACCTCCTTGCCCCCCTCACAATGACATGACAGGTTTTGATCTGTTGGGCAGGGATCTGAATTTGGAAGAATTGATCCAGAAGTTCCCCCTGGCACCAGTCCCCATGCATAAGGTCAACATTGCTCAATGGAATGGGAGATCCAACTGTTTTCGGTAACAACGCATGGGTGTGGCTCATGCAGACCCCCTGGAGGGCTGTGTCATTAGAAAAATTGATTATGTATTAGTGCAATCGCTTTATACCCCAGGGGTATGATTAACAACTTGTGCTTTTTTTGGTTGCCTTTAGTATGTGTTTGCTTGTTGGTTGGCTGGTTGCTGTTGGTGCAGTTGGTCTTAGGCGGTTGCAATTTTGTCACGGTGTGCCGCCAGAGTAAACCTGAATTGTGCATATCCAGGGACAAGCAGGTAGATTCTGGGCTCCCACTGAACTCTAGCCCCAATCCAAGAACAGTTAGTTCTGATAACATGGCCCTGCTCCACACTCACCGTCATTAAATGATCACTGAAGATCAGGGTGCTACAGCAAAGTGTGGTGAAGAAAGCAGATGGAATAGTGTCTGGGTCTTAAAGGCTTGTATTCAAACAAGCAGCCATCTAAGGGAAGAGTCAACTAAGTCCACACGGAAGAAGCACACCAGCTTGTGTGATCCAAAGATAACAATTATAAAACTCAAATACGAAGGGGAAAGTATCAAAGCTAAAATTATGAACCCCCAATTAGTAGAAGGCTGTGGAGGGGAGTGAGAGCCTAAAACCCATCTGAAGAGTAACTAGTCGGATAAAGCCGCTGGCAGACTCCCATTAGCCACAGGCAAGGGTCATGAACAGCCTTACTGTCCCAGTCATTGTCAGCTTCTTATGCTGGCTTGAACTTGATACTTGGGTCAACTTGACCTAACCTGAATTTGCTCTAGGTGCAAGTATCTCTTGTGTGTTCCATAAAAAACATTTCTTCCCTGTTTTTTAAACTATTGAGGGTAGTCTTTCTTTCTTACTCATTATTTGTATATTTATTTTTATATCACCGAATATACTCAAGTATAAGCCGAGTTTTTCAGCACATTTTTAATGCCGTTTTTGTGGTAAAATTGAGTGGCTCGGCTGATATTTGGGTGTAGATGGTATTATTATTTTATCCCTTCCACTTTATGTTGTTTTTTATTGTTTTGTTGGGTTTTCCAGTTTGTGAAGCAGAGGAGGAGTAGATGCATAGAGATAATAACTGATGCAAGGGTTTATAGGGGAGGCAGGGGTGTGGGGGAGATGGGGAGGGTGAGGTGATTTGAGGAGCAAACAGTGAACTTGGGAGGGGAGAGGGAGCCCTGGAACTGATTATGATCACACAACTCATTTAAAAACGAATTTAACAATGAAAAAAGTTTTAAAAATCGATGTCACGATTGTACAATTCTTGATAAGAATGAACTATTGAATGATATGGTATGTGGAGTCGGGGCTAATAAAAAAACAAAGAGAGACCCTAACTTCTGGGTGGTCTCTCATGCAGTCACAGATACCAGAGCAGACTCAAAGAAAGAGCCTTACTCTCAGTCCCACCCATGGGATTACTTGCCAGTTACCTGGCTTGGCCCCTAAGTCTAGGTGGCCAGAACTGGACGCTAAAAATGCTCCTTGGAGTTCCGATAGGGCAGTGGGCATCTTGAAGGTTCGTGGAGGAACCTTAGGGGGTGGGGGGCTCCCGCCCATCTGAGCCTTACTGGAGCAGGACCACCACCCAGAGCAGACCAACTTACCGATCGTGGTGATGACCGTGGCTGCAAAGATGACGGCGTTGGGCCAGTTCCAGTTGTTGAAGGTTTGATTCCCTGTGATGGCCACTCCCTGATCAGCAGCATCAGACACTACCTAGAGACAAGAGGAAGGCCGCTGAGACCACACGCACAGTGTCTTCCTAAGTGGCCAGCAGCACCGTATGCAATTCCTCATGGGCATTCTCACATGGTCATCATGCTTGTCTCCATTTTTATAGGCGAGGAAACGGGAAGGTCAGAGTGGTGAAGTGGTTTGCCTAAGTTCTGGCTTCAGGGTCCATCTTCTTAAATCTCTGAGCCAGTGTTTCTCACACATATCAGCACACACCAGAATCCCCCGGAGGGCTTGTTAA